AACGAAAATGCAAAGTTGATTTTTCAATTTTATTTCCTGGATGATTGCATGCATAAATAAGTACATTTGCCTAATTTCACTGAAAGGATAATTAAAAGAAACCTCAGAATCGGTCAAATAGTATACTCATGACAATAAAGTTAGACCCATGTCTAAGAGTACAAAAAAATTCTACTATTGATGCTTGAATGTTATGGAAACCGAGCGACTCAATTGTGCTAAGATTGAATATCCCCAAAATCACTACGCTTACCCTTGTACCTGCCCTTCGGAATTTAGAATGTGGCAGCAGATTGCGAAAAGACGCGGGGTCAAAACTGCAGTCTTGTAGGAGGCATAGAAAAACGAAATTCAGTGCAAATCAAGCCTTCTTCAAACCGACGTGGATATAACCACTCTCAATGCCTTTGATGCCACACCAAAATAATGCATCCACCATCCAACTGTACAAAATGTAGTCACTTTCCAAGAAAGGATGAGACCTGTTATGCTTAATTCGTGTGCCTTTCTAATAAAAACTGCTCGAAATGAAATTCAACTCTTGAAGGTCACCTTTAAGAGATAACTTGAGTCCAAGATGGGTCTCCTTTGATTCAGGAAGCCTCAGGTCCACGGAGACATGTGATGGTGCCATCTTCTCTAGAGGAATGGTATTCTCACAACCCTGGCACTGCAAATTGGGATTACATTTCCGCCTTAATGTGGATATGTTGCCAGCGTAGCCAATAGGCGCACTTTTCGGCCGAAATTTTGTCCCGATTTCAAGTCCATTTGTCTCCTCAAAAGGGCTTTTCTTCGGGAATCTAGAGTTATCGCCACCATAACTGCTAGTCGGGCCTAAAATGGCAATCGGTCAAAAATATAAGAGCATACGGATTACACTAGGTTGGATGCTTTTTAAGGAAAATTATGCAACATAAATTAGTTCTTAGGCTTAAAGCTGATATGGAAAAAAATGAATACATCTAATACAGAAGTTGGCTGACCTTGTTTTTGCAACTTGGTCATATTAGCAAGAAAACCTAGAGAAACCTACCATGTTCGTAGTACATAGTATGCATGATAATTTACAGAGTCCACTGTCGACTTCGTACATTTCCAGACGTTTCCCTGGCATCGTCAGTAAGTCTTGACATTCTCAGCACCACATTACAACTTGTCAAGTGAAGCCGATCCCTTGACCAATTGTGTGCTAAACAAATGCGGCCTATTTGACTAGTTGTAGTGTGGTGCTAAGAATGGCAAGACTTACTGACGATGCCGGCGAACCGTCTGGGAATGTACCAAGTCGACAGTCCGACTCTGTAAATTATCATGCATACTATGGACTCCGGAAATCGTGGGTTCCTCTAGGTTTTCTTGTCAATATGGCCAAGTTGCAAAAACAAGGTCAGACAACTTCTATAGAACGAAAAGAAACCGCGACCAGACAGAAGGCCAAACCATCCTGGTCCTTGACAGCTAACACATATCGGAAAAAATATCTGTTAAATTAACATATTTCGACGGTTATGTAAATAACCTTTCAAGCATTTCGGACCACTAACATTCATTCGCTTTCAAAAAAGTAAGATATTGCATGTTTTCGTCCAGTCTTTGATTCTCAAAGGAAAAAGGGGAAAAAATTAGCATTTTCTCCTAATCAAAAAGTCCTATTTGTGATATTTTTTTGTTTAAATTATGGTTGCCCATTTAGCTTATACAGCCCTAGACATCTATGATATTTAACGGCCTAGATGTTGTTATAGGCACTAGTAAATCGGAAGACTAGGTTTGAAGAAGCAATCAAAAGTGAAAATTACAACATAAGGTCAATGGCAAAGAAATATGGACACAAAATTAAAGGAATGTAATGATATCCAGCACTAGTCCAAATTTTTTTCAGCCTCTAGATTTGGGCCGGTGTAAATGCTTTCTTAAATCATGTAGACTCCATGAATGAGTGATTTGACTCGTTTGAGAGTAAAACTATTCTAATTCACATAATTTCACATCTATTCATATTACCTGACCGATTTAAAGTAGATGCATAATGTCGTCTATCTAAATTTTCATATAAAAATCATTTTTAATAGGTAATATTGAAATCTAATGCTATAGGTGTCAGTATTTTCCACTTTTTTTCCTGCTTAAAAAGACAATTTTGGAGCATTATGGGGGACCATGAACTTGCAAGCTACTAACAAAGAGTTAGACAATTAAAAGTGATCAGGGCAAGCATAACTGACCTTCTTTTAGTCTAGTTCGCTCAATTTGATTGATCATCAGTGATAGGAGTTTTGGTCTGAAATTAAAGAGTAAAAGTTTTGTGAAGGTCTTTACACTTGAATTTAATTAGTAGTTTCAAAACTTACACAAACTGAATTTATTAGAAGACTATTGAGTTTGCTAAATGGAATCACTCGTCATTGAGCTTTGCATTTCTTAAGATAATCTAGACAAAACTCTTAAATATGCCTTAATGAAAACCTGAAATTGCCTAAAAGTTATCTTACTTATTTATCGGTTAGTACCAAATGTAGGTTTAAACTACTCAAACTTAAGAATAGTGAGTAGGATTGTTGTTGACCGCCATGCTTAGCTTAGAGCATTCTGTGAAGTTCAGTTTAAGAATGGTCACAGGCCCTGTCGAGGCTCGTCACAGTGGGAAATACAAAAGCGCCTCGTGTATTCGTAGTGGTTGCAGGACAGAATGCTGAGAACTGCTATGCTCAAAGTAACTTTTAAACAGACTAGAAAACCTCTATTCTACTCGATTTTGTATACAAAATGAAGAGTCCAGCCGAATGATAATTTGCATGAGTTCTGGGCACAGCTTTTCATCACAAAAGGAAACGATAAATAATCCGTAAAAAATCAATCCATCATTTGGAGCTATAAATGAGTAACTTATATGAATATACTTTCACAAGCAGCCCTCACTCCAATCTATCATTCGAGGAACTTCCACCTATCATCGCATTCTCTCACACGACCTCGTAGTCATAGTTGGTGAGGTCATTTGGTGAATATGATCATTGTGGACTAGGAGAGAGTAAGACTATAGCTATTGGAAAACTAAGAAACGCCGCATCTTAATCCAAAATAAAGTTAAGGACGAAAATATTCAAGGCTTGTTCATAAAAGGCACTAGGTTGATATGCCCACCCCACCCCCAACGTTAAGTAAAAATTTCACAGAATCCCCGATTTCATTTGGCATTATCTACCTTCATGATGAATTTGAAGTGTTAGCATGCATAAGGAATTTATATTCGTAATTATCAGTTTTCGAGGCCCTTATGCAACCTGGGGTGACTAAAGCCCGTATGAACCATTTATAATTGCCTAATAAAATTTGCCCATAAACAGTGTGAAGCGAAGCTCCTAAACGCATCATACAATTTATAATTCAGCCTGCATTATTCGCTGAAGAAAAATCATATTTATCGACTAGTTATTTTATTAAACTGCATAATTAAGCTCTCATATACAAAACCCAAGACTTTGAGGCCAGACTCTTTTTGCTGTAGAAAGTTGCTTCGACTTTGCTTTCACAATTTAGTCTCAAAAAGAATTTGAGGAATTAGTCTAGTACTGCATCCCCTGTAATTATCATGTCTTCTTTCAGAATTAGACGGTTTGCAGCATAATATTTCCAAGTCTTTCTCCTGCATCTCATTCGGAAACGTCGAAGATACGCCGCCTTTATGACAGAAGGCAAACTCTTTGACTAAATTTCTTTTGAGTTGTTACATTTGTAGTACAAGTGAATTAAGCCTCGTTCATGCCCACCCTAATGCCCATGAACATCTCATTGTGTCTTCCTTCCCACTATAATGGAATAAAGCTACTGCCTAACTCACATTTTACTACAATTGTTTAGATAATCTCCAAGTTTGCGTACCTTAAAATAGGTTTGTCGGATTATAATTAATTTTCCATCTGACCTTCCATCCTCTCGGCTGGGCCTCCTTATTTGATTTGGTACTTCCGTTAGACAATCCTCTTCACCAAACTTCAATCAGCTTTCCAGCAAAAATCCAGA